TTGAAAGATATATTAAAATAAAAACGTACATAAAAAATACATAAAATAGAGAGTATAATTTTCAATTAAATAAGAAAGTTGCGTCGTTCAGAGCGGAGACGTGGCAATAACAGCGCCCAATTAATTAAACAGGCATGGGAGTTGAGTCATTTGACTAATTATGCATGGATTAGTCAAACATAATCAAATTGAACCACTACCTGAGAATAAAAAACAGATGACATCCTTTTGTTAGTTGATATCTGCTCTGGTTTTTCTCTAATGCCGAAGGGAAGGAGATTATTGGTCAAAATTTCAACATAATTCGTAAATTAAAAATGTAATTAATTAATTTATGTGTCTTATTATCATTCACCAGTCAAAATCTTGTATCTTAAGTATTATGTCCTACTCTTACCAAACACATATAAATGTTGCTTTTATCATTCAATGGATCATTTTCCCCATCATTATAATTACATGTATAAAATTGTATGGACAAGCAATTGTGAAATATTGGAATTTTCAACAGGTTGAGTGATTAATTTCTTTGTATATTCAAATGTGTACAGCCCCAATTTTCAGCCCCAAATTTTAGAAAAGTAAAGGGCATCTAATCGAGTTGAGTACTAATTAGGATGAAAATATTTTTATTAGAATATAAGTGACTAACATACTTCACTTCATTATTGATAAAGGGGATAAACTCCCTGATACTGAGAAATTATCTCTTTATTAATAATTTATTATTTTACAGTTTTTGTAAAATATAGTTCTGTATTCTAATATGGGATGTTTTAGCTTATAAGTCATGGATTTGAATCACAGCATTATGAAATTTAGATGGTATTCATCTGTCCTCTCTTAACTTGAAATCTGGTTCGGTGATCAAACAATATTAATCCGTTCCTTATAAATTCTAAGGAAGAGGAAAAAAAAATAATGCAATTTTTACGGTAAATAGAAATAATGCATTTATAAGTATAAAAACAAAGGAATATACATATCTGTATTTTATAATATATATAATACATAGCAATTCTGACTTTAAAAAAAATTAAAGTTTTAATTTTAAATTACATTATTTTATTAATTAAAATTTAAAAATTTATCTTATTAAATATTAATATTTAAATTTAAAAATTGATAAATTTTTAAATTTTAAATTTAAATTTTTATTTCTAAATATAAATTTTAATTTTAATTTTTAAAAAAATTAAAATTAAGACACACTAATTCCTGTATATACAAAAAAACCAAAGGGGTACTGGCTTAAGCCCTCATAATTTGAACCCATCGTTAGAAAAAAGCTCTCACAATTTGACTTTGACCAAAGAAGGACCATGCTCTTTACTTTCTCTTTGTCTGGACGCGCAAATTCGTAGTTAATTTGTACAATCACAGCGCAACTCCAATCATTCAGTCGGTCCACTTTGTGTGTACAGAAAACAAATAAAAAAATCACACAAAATAACTAAAAGAAAAAGAGGCCTGGTTATAGACACAAATATAATTGTTCAGTTTATTAATATTTTTTTATTTTGTTAAATTATTTATTTATTTATTTAATTCAAATAATAAAGGTATAGTTAGAAATAAATGTGTTTTTTTTTAAATTGAATAGACAAATAAATAATTTAACAAGCATCGAGTCCTTCGGATCAAGTAGCAATAGTCACCCATGGTGCATTCTCCCCTCCCTCAGGGCTGGGGTTCGAACCCAGTTCCTTGTAAAATCAGTTTAAAAAAAAATAAATAATTTAACAAAATAAAAAATATATATATTAACAACCTTAACAATTGTGTTGGTGGCCATAATTGGGGCCGAAAAAGCGAGGGCCATAGAGGCTAATTATCTAATTTTTCTATGGTGTCACTACAAAACCTGTTATTGTCCATTTTTATAAATTATTTTTACCAAATCGAGATTTGGATTTTATTGTTAATTTCAAACCCATAACTCATTTTTTAGTTAGATGTCAAAAGAATGAGAGTTTAAAGACAATTTGTTTGGTAAATATAGATACATCAAAGCCAATGAGCCATTATGAGTTGACATGTTAAGATAGTTAATAATGAGTTTGTAAAGTTTCATATTCGATTTTTCCTCTCTAACACTCAAGTAAGTTGTTGGATAACAAAAATTCTATTTGACTTGCTCCAATACATACACTATTGAAGATTGGTTTAGGGTTGATTGCATCAGGTTTTGCTAATATTAAATCATGCTTACGAAAGTAATCCAATTATAATGCTGCAGGGAAGGCAAGAAGAATTGTTCCCTTAGCTAGAGAGGTCACTGATTTCGTCAACTTGGTTAATTAAAAGCCATTGAATTTTTTTTTTTTTTGACAACAAAAAATGATTAAGTAAGTGTAAGTATCTGCTGTATTGTGAAAAGATTGAACCTCGAAAATGTGTGCAATCCATCTATTATCGAAAGAGCAGCGTGGCCACCACTGAACTACAAATATGCAAAAGCCATTGAATTTTGTACACTGTTTTAGTTAATCCATTGGAATATTGGCAACAAGTCGGTGTGGAATTAAGTACCCACAGAGTGGCTATTTCTTTAAGAAAAAGAAGAAATAAAAAATGGGGTAGTTACTAAATTCCTACCAAAACAGTGAAGTTTGAATACTGATCGATTCTTTTTAACCATTTTACTCTGTCAAGTTGTTTTTGGAAACCAATTAAACTATTTAGTTTGAATTATTCTATTTTATTTTTATGTTTGATGAATAGATCACACAATAAGGATAGGTTTCGAATTTTAAAGGCTGGATTCGTTAGCACGTAAAGCAAATCCTCACACATTTCTTTTACTTTTTCAATATAAGAAAAAATTTTAATTATTGAGACATTTTTAATTAAATAACGTTTTTTTCGTCGTCTTCTTCTTCTTCTTTTTTCTTTTTTTAAATAAACTCGGTGGTGGCAGGTAGGTGGTTGGTGTATCCCACTAAATTATAAAATGATTCGAACTTGTATTCAGTCATATATAGTTCAGCATGCATGCATTATTATCACTTAAATGAACCCTATTTGTTTCTAATTAACTGACGTTATTTGTGTGATTTAAACTAATCGTTCTGGGTTAATTTCACCACGAAATCACAACTAAGCATCAGTAAGGATTATAGACCAACATTCTAGTTCTAGCCTTTAAAATTTGAATGATTATATCAAGAGAAGGCTTGAATCTTTCAAATGTCAGAATCAACATTAGAAAATCACTGCTATATATATATATATATATTCTAAGAAAACCTAATCTCAACTTTAGGTATACCTAAGTTTGAAACCAAGATACATATTTGTTGCTTCTTGCCAAGAAAAAAAAAAAAAAGAGCAAGAAATTAATTAAAGACAAATGTAAAAGAAGTGAATTAATAAGTGGTACTCCTCTTTGCATTTTGACTTTTTTTTTTCTAAATTAATGATTTTGAAGTAATTTATACTGTAATGTTATAGTTATAATAGTAGATATATAAGACACTAAATGAGTATAATATTATATTACATGAATGAATATATATAATATCATAAGTGAATCTCTAAATAAAAGAGTCATTTATATAATGACATATTATGTCATATAGTTATAATATTATTGATATTCTAGCAATAAAATTTTTATAATTGGAGTTAGTACTTATTTACCTTACTTGCTAAATATTAAGAGAAAAATTATTTTAAAATTATATTATTTTAATAAAATGTCATAAAAAAGACAAAAAAAAACTTTAGTTTTTACTTTAAAAATAAGATATATTAAAATTTTCAATAAAATTTTATTAAAATTATATAATTTTAAGATTTTTTTTTATTTCTAAGAAATAAAAAAATAAATACAATTTTTTAATAATTTATATATTTATTTATATTACTCATTATTAACAATTATTTTGATATAAAAAAATACTAAAACATTTTTCTTTTGTTCATACAAGAAAAAAGAAAAAGGAAAGAGACAGAGGTTAAAAATTGAAAACATTTTTTTCGTGTAATCAAAAAGTCAGGAAGGTTTGACTAGACCAGCCAAGCCATTGGCACACATAGGCGGGCGATGCTAAGAAAGGATGTGGACACTGGACAGCCTTGTTTTGGTCAAACCTTTTCTGCTCTAGTTAATCAATGTCTGTAGGCTATTGCATAGCACGTGCAGCTTTCACCTCTTCTTCCTTCAAAGCAATAGCCAATAGGAATCAGTCAACAAATGTGAGCTCAAGTTTCTCTTGTATTTTTTTTTTCTATTTATTTATTTATATCCTTATTTTATGACTTCGTAAATCTACGACCACCACAAAAGCTAATTCACTTCTTCAATCCATACTAATTATTTTACTGCAATTGGGAAGGAAGGACCCAATTTAATAATGAATGAGCTATGCTAGGGTTTTCATTGAGAAAGGGTAAAACAAGGGCTTTATTTAACACTAAACCCTTTTTTAGCTAGATGATTGATTTTATAATCAAAAGATCAAGGGAGTGAGTTGAAATGTGGTTCAAAAAAATTAAAAAAAAAAAAACTAATTTAAACCATTTTGATAATACAAATTTAAATCCTTTTGATACCATTTTAATAAATCATGCTTGAAGTTTTACATGTAATTACATAAAATAACTTTTAAATACTAATAAAACTAGTCGAGTCAAAACTCTAAATATTCATATCATTCAAAAAATAATTGATTTCATAATCACGACATTATTAACGTTAATTTAAAAATGTTTTCAAGAAATTATCATTTTGTGACCCTTTCAAGGATTTAAAAAATTGTCACTAATGAAAAAAAAAAATGGTTCCACGTGTTAGAAATTGTCAAAAGAAAAGAAAAGAAAAGAAAAGAAAAATCTTTCCTATATAATTCTTGTATATGATAAACACTACTTTAACAATCTAGTTGTGTAACACACATAGAATAAACAATAATATTTTCCAATTTTTTCTAAACACGTGCATTTGTGGATCATTTTCCCATTTTTTGTCCATCTCCAAGTCATGCTATAATTTGATTTTTTTTTCCCTCATTGGAAGGCACCCACAGATTCCCAATACTAAACCAAAAAAAAAAAAAGGAAAAAAAAAAAAAAACATCACTATGCCATTATCAAAGATGCATTGGCTGAGTCAACTTGAAACACCCCTTTCTTGTTTCTCTAAATTTAATCATATTTTTCAAAAAAAAAAAATACAGAATAATTTATCTTTTTGGAAAGGAAGACGATCATGCAAGATATTTTTGTCATGAAAAGATACAAATAAGATATTAATTTTATATTTTTATTTAAAAATATTAATTTTATCTATT